ATGCATCGTTGGATTGCGTCTTTTAAAAAATTAGTCTATGTAAAATTACATCTTTTCGAAAAGCTGTTTTAATATTATTATGTTCCAAATGGTTGCAACTCTTCGTAAAAAATATTTTATGGTTATTAATACATCATAAAGTTGCATCTTTAAAAAAAGCCGTTTGATAAATATAATGCATTATATGGTTGTGTATTTTCGAGAATAAACCATTTTATGGTTATTAATGCATTTTAGTGTTGCGTCTTTTCGGAAAAAAACGTTTTAATAGTTATTATCTTATCCGGTTGTCTCTATTCGAGAAAACGGTTTTATAGTTGTTAATTATTCATATAGTTGTGTCTTTTTTGAAAAACTCATTTATTGTTGTTAATTTATTATATGGTTGCGTCACATTCTCATAATATTTTGGTTTTTTCATTTATAACAACTTTTCCATAATTCTAAAAAAATAGTTTGTATTGTTGTGCGTTTGCATATACCTTTTAATTTTTTTATTTCTACCATTAAAAAATATCTTTACATTGTATACTTATTTATTATCATATTAATTTAATTTTAATTATTTTTTAACAAATAATTTTTTCTCCCCGCGATTTCGCGGGGATTCGAACCCTAGTTAGAACAATATTTATTCTATAAATAATCTGTATTCCAATCCTTGAAATCAACTGTCTCCTTCATCACCAGTTTTTGTTATATTGTTATCTATATATTTTTCGTTCACCACCAAATCTGATCTGATTTTGATTGTATTAAATCTAAATTTTAAAATTATCAGTTATTTTACTTTCCGTTCACCATTAAATCTGATCTGATCTGATCTGATGGTATATTAAATCTAATTTCTTAAGTAATCATTAATTATAACAATTTTTTGGACGTGATTTCAAGTCATCCATTCCATTGTCTTTTTTTTTGAAAAAGTATCCATTCCATTGTCTAACAATTTGTCTTCATGAATTACGTTTAAATTTTCCTTTTTGTGTCTGTACGTCTCTGTGTAAGAACTCGGGGACCTTGTGCCACATTGGCACATTGTAAATGTAATGTAAGCCATTTTCTATTTTATTTCCAAGCCACATTGATGGCATTACATCTTTTACATAAATTAAATTAAATTTCATATATTCTAGTTATGGTGCGTACGACTAAAAAAACACGTTCGAGAGATAATTTAAGGGTCAATTGCAATAATAACTTTTACATTTAGATTAAATGGTTATGATTTTTTATTATAGATTTTTGAAAAATTTACTTAAAATAACCTACTTTTTAAAAAAAATTATTAGGATAACCTCTTTAATTTTTTATTATCCAAATAATCTACTTTACGTTTTTTTCCTTCAATACCAAA